TGAACCATGCAGTCAGTCATGTGGGATCCAGCTCCCTTAGACAAAGGGGCTGGCCTGCCTGACCCTTACTTCTTTTCTTTCCATCTAATCTGCTGTATATTTTATTCTCTTATCATAGTAGTTGCTTTTCCTAGGGAGTGTCTGCAGGGATTCTTGCCTTTTGAGTGTTGAGCACTAACAGATCAACAATAATATTTGTTGGGCCAGCTCTGTGGTACAGCACTGATGTACTACTCAGGAGAAACCAAATCCAGGGCCAGCAGGTGGTGTAGTGGTTAAAGTGTTGGACTGCCACAAGGTCTACCACAATTCGAATCCTGAACCCAGCAGCTTGAAAATTACGCTGGGTGTGTGTGTGTGTGTATGCATGCCCAAAATCCCAAATGGAAAATGGAGGAAAAAGAATTGTAGCCTGGCCATCCTCCCCATGGGGAGAGGTTTCTCACTTGCCCTCTCACTGTCTCTCTTTCTCTCTGATGAATGCACACGCCCTATCAGAAAAGCCTAAGAAATTAAAAAAAAAAAAAAAAAGTGAAACCAAATCCCACATTGCTACCGTGGTTCAAATCCCTGGCCTGGTCAGCCTGAAACACTGGCATGTGCATGAATGACCAAGATCCAATTGGCTGGGACTGGAGGAAGGGAATCACAGTGTGACCAGACCCTGCAGAGGATGCTTACATCTCTCTCTCTCTCTCTCTCTCCCTCTCTCTCTCTCACATACATGCACGTGTTCTATCACAAATAAGGAAAAAACAATTTTAGGGACCAACAGTTGGTGTAATGGCTATGTCGCTGGACTCCCATGTAGTCAACAGCAGTTCGAGTCCCAGACCCGGTGGCTTAAACTCAGGCTGGGTGTGTGTGTGTGTACCCAAAATTCCAAGAGGAGAATGGAGGAGAAGGGATTGTGGTGTGGCCGTACCCCCTGGGAGATGATTTCTCGCTTTCTGTCTGTCTCTTTCTGTCTTTCTGGCGAGCGCATGCGCCCTATAGCAGAAACCTCTCCTCCCCTAGAAAAAACACAGACTTGTTGAATAAGTGAAGCAAAGGGCATATAGATAAGGGACTGCACATGGGAAGTACGTTCTCAGCTGTTATATCAACGGATTAGGTACACGGTAAGCACCCTAGGAAGGTCTTTCCAGTATCATATGTCAGGAGAAAGGATGATGCTTCACCAGGTCCTTCTTTATCTTACAGGAGACCAGCCGCTAACCGGGGCCTACACAGTGACCCTGGATGGACGAGGGCCCTCCAGGGTCATCTCCAAACATGACCTGGGCCACTTCATGCTGCGCTGCCTCACCACCGACGAGTATGACGGGCATAGAACCTACCCCTCCCACCAGTATGAGTAGGATTCTGGCCCCATCTACGAGAATGGCATTCTGGGAAATGAGAAACAAAGGAAGAGAGCAATAAATCTCAAGCCAAGAGCTTCAAATTATTTTCAAGGACCCAGCTCTATGTCTCTTCCTTTCTCTGCCTTTGTCCACGTGTTTCTAGTCTCTGTCTGCCTCTGTGTGAGATCTCCTGGGTATTCATACACTCACTTACGCTGTATCAGTTTGCTGTATCCAGACCTTTGCTGAGGACCAAGTAGTGACTGTGGGGCCCAGAGATGGTCATGACAGCCTTGAGCCCTGCTTTTATGGATCTTGCAGCCCAGTGGGGAAGACAGCACTGCCACTGATAGTGACAATCCAGAATGACCAGGGCTCTGGAGGAAGCCTAAGAAGAATGGGAGAGCCATGAGGGGTGGGTTACTGGTCCAGCTTGAGGAGCAAACAAGACTTTGTGGAAGAAGGGATGTTCAACCTGAGACCTGGTTTGGTGAGAATGAGCCAAGAGAAGATTCTAGGGTACTATATAGCATTCCTGATGGAAAGAACAACATGAGCCAAGGCTGGGAGGCCAGAAAGCAGAAGGCTTCCTTAGGCCTAAAACTCTTCCCCCTGGGCTGCCAGTGGCAAGATGGTTAAGGTGGCTGGATCCTACATAGCTGGCAGAGTGGCTCAAGTCCAAAACCTGGTATCTCACAAAACACGCTGGGCATGTGTGCCCAAAATCCCCAAAGGAGGGAGAGACAGGGGAAGGGATCGCAGCATGACCAATTCCCCATGAGGGTGCTTTCTCACTTTCTCTCTTTCTGTCTCTCTCTGGTGAGCACATACATCTCTGGCAAATCTTAAAACAAACACACACACAAATCTGTGCCTTACAGTTAATGATACTTCTCTGAGGTAAGGATGGTCGGATCTAAGAGGCTAATCTCTGGTGGAGGCTAGGTTATGTCATCATTGTAAAAAGTTCAAGCTGTATTCTTTTTTAATTTTTTTTGGAGAGGTTTTTGCTATAGGGCACATGGACTCCCCAGAAAGATAGAGAGAGACTGAAAGTGAGAAATCACTCCCAAGGGGTGATGGCTAAGCCACAATCCCTTCTCCATTCTCCTCTCAGGATCTTGGGCACACCGGCACAAGCGCCCAGTGTGAGTTTAGGCCACTGGGTCCAGGACTTGGACCGCGGTCAACTACATGGGAATCCAGTGACACAGCCATTATGCCAACTGCTGGACCCAGTTCAGGCTGTATTCTGAGAGTGTATTCAAGGAGTGGAGCTGGAGGGTGAGGGTGGGGGAGTGAGAGTGTGTAAGTTGGGTTTGTGTTTCATGAAGCTTCCCTTTGGGCTACATGAGAGTACAGAGGAAGTTGGGCCAAGCCAGGGGCTTTGGGGAGGAGAGAGTGGGTGGGAGAAGGCTCAGGAAGCTGAGTGGGCAGTCCCTGGGGAGCGGGAGGAGGGGGCACAGAGCAGAAGCACAGGGTTGTAACCTCGGAGAGGTTAGGGCAGGGCTTCCCTGAGATGCCACCCCGGGAGTAGGGGCAGGTTAGAGAGGGGGAGGGGAAGAACTGCTCCTTCCTAATCATGTCCCCTTTGTAATCTGCTAACACCTTCCTTTGTTTTCTGGGCCCTCTTTCCCAAGCCTGGGTCAGCTAAGACTCCCACATCCAATACACCCACCCACCACCCTGGAGCCCTGAGAAATCCTTGGCAGTCCCATATGGCAAATAGCAGGATGACTTGGTTGACAGATTCCAACCGGTGAAAACTGGTCTGAGGAGCCTTAAGCCTCCCTTCCCAGAGAAGGACTGGAGAAAACTGCCACCTCCTCCCCTTCGTGAAAACGTGTGGGGGTGGGGCCTTACGGGGCAGGCGTTCAGGACACCAGCGGTGCTTTATTTCCGCTCTTACTGGTTCTTTCTGACATACGCCTGAGCACTTACCACAGTTACTGGTACCTGCTCATGTCCTGCCCTGTGCTAGGTGATGCTCAGACCAAGCCGCGGACTACGGCGACAATCTCGGTACCTGGCCTCAGGGGGCTCGCAGTCCAGACAGTGACAACCCAGGATAGGACACAGAGGCACAGGCAGAGGGAGCCAGGACGAGATGGGGGAGGCATAGGAGCCATGAGTGCCCCAAGGGAGGAAATCTTTGAGATGAGTTCTGATGAGAGGCAGCCTGGGAATTGAGGGTTCATGTTCAAGATGAAAAATCGAGTTTAAAAATCCAGAGGCCATTCATTCTCTTTTTCGAGTACTTGTTATGTACCTGACTTTGTTGTATGTTTTGGGGTAAGGCGGGGGAGGGGGGAGAACGGAAAAAAGACACAAAATTCCTGTGTTCATGATGATGGAGGGCGCTTGAAGCCATTTTAGAAAAACTGAATCACAGCGACAAGATCATAGACACCAAGGAGAAAAGTGCATCGGGCCAGATCATGAAGTGCTTTGGGACAAAAGTAAGGAATTTGGACTTTGTCTCCAGGGCGGTGGGGAGCCGCACATTAGCTTCCAGAGCGGAGGGGCAATCCTGAGAGAGGACGTAGAAGCGTGTCCGGGGGCCGGGGAAAGACTACCAGAGGACGTGCTGCGAACTCCTGGGGATTAAATAGGGAACGCGGGTTGAAGCGGGGGGAGGGGGGCACGGAAGACCAGGGCGGCGAGGGGGCGGGGCTTCCGTCGCCCAGGCAACACAGGCCGCGCCAAACTATTGGTTAGGCTGTAGCTGAGCCATCCTCCGCTCCGCAGCGTCAGGCCTCGGAACCCCGGGGGCGCGGCCATCGTGAGTTGCTCGCCCCTGCCGGCCTGGAAAGGGTGTGCAAGCCCTTCTTGCTCTGCGGGGAGCGGGGAGGGTGTCAAGCCTGGTATAAAAGGGCCGGAGAGAGCAATGCGAATGATCTCCGAGTGAGGACAGTAGCAGAGCTGAAAAAAGCAGTTTTAATGGTTTCGCCACTCTCCGCCCTGGAGATTCGGCCCCGCCTTCTGGCAAGTTGAAATCCTTTAAAAGGTCTGGTGCGTTAGGGAGGGGTGGGCAGGTCCGGTGTCTCTCAGCAACCGGAGGGTGGCTCCGCCCAGCCAATCGGCGCCCCGCCGCTGGCAGGACTCCAGCCAATCGCAGCTCACAGCTCGGGTCTGGGGCGGAGCTGGGGGGGACCGACGCC